AGAAGTAAAATAGAATTTGCTTGTCTCCCTCTCTCTCTCTCTCTCTCCTTCCCCCCTCTCTCCTCCTCCCTCTCCCTCTCTCCCTCTCTCTCTCTCTCTCTCTCTCTCTCTCTCTCTCTCTCTCTCCCCCTCTCTCTTTCTCTCTCTCCCCCTCCCTCTCTCTTACTTCATCTTCTCTGAGTCCTCTCTGTGTAGCAGACCAGGAGTGATCAGGAGTCAGTCGCTGGGTCGTGGCACTACCAAAATCGCACAATTTAACAGACCCCTTGTCTGTGAGCAACAAATTCTCAACCTGTAAAAAATAATAACAATAATAATAATAATAATAATAATAATAATAATAATAATAATAATAATAATAATAATACACACGTATATGTACATAATAAATAATAATAAAATCACACCCACTTTAATATCCCTGTGTATGATGGGTGGGGTCTGAGAGTGCATGTGGGCTATTGCTTGACAGGTCTCATAGAAAACCCTCAGGACTTGATGAGGACTCAAAGAACGAGTGTTAACAATATCGACAAGCTCACCACCTGCCAAGAAAAACATAATAATAATATACATCATGTACATGTAGCAACAACAAGTGAAAGTAAGAGAAATAGAAAATGTAATAAAAATTAAATGTGGTTTAAAAGCCATTTTTCAGAAAAACCATGGGCTATTATAGCCTTGGGTTGTTGGCCAAATTTTGCCAAATTGAAAAGGAGAGAATTCTCTATTTTTATAATTTTTTCTGATGCATATACATGTTCTTATGTTGTGTAGAAAGTTTGAGCTGATTCCGATCAAAATTGTATTTTTTTACAATTTTTAAAAGTTCCTCCCAAATTGGGGCAAAGTTGTTCCATAATAGAACAACAAGAATAAAGCTCATTTTTATTCATACCAGTAATAAGTTCAGTTACAATAAGAAACTCTGCACTCCCTCCAGCTGGATCCTTAGAACTAGCGGCACCAATGAAATGAATTATATGAGGATGACCAGACAATTGAGTCTGAAAGAGAGAGAGAGAGAGAGTTTAAAAGTACATGCACACATATGCACATATTTAATTCATTAACTTACTAAAAATGTTATTTCTTGCTTGATTGCTTTAATGTTTTCCGAAGCTACTATCTGCCTCTAAAAGTGTTGAAAAAGAATTTAAAATTAATGAGGGCATGCACTCATTATAATGTACATGTACATGTACAAGTAGTAATTTGTATTTAACTACCTTTAGTGCGTAGTCGATTCCAGTGCTTGTATCTTGAGCAACAAATACAAACCCATAGCCACCTGGAAAGGGAGAGAGGAGTGAAGGAGAGAGAGGGAGAGAGAAGGGGGTCTACCTTCAGCTATAACTTTTTTGACTTTAAGTTTCATCCCATCTCCAATGTCAACAGTTTGTCCCACAAAAGCGTTTCCACCGCCACTGCCTCCTCCTACGTCTCCCTCACCACTGAGGTAACTCATTGCTGAACGAAAGAAATCAACCATCTTTGAAAGAAAGAGAAAGACAGACAGGACAGGTAAGGGAGGTCCCCAGTTTTTTTAATGGAGTACGCCCAATGTTAAGGACCACGCCCAAAAATGACCACGCCTTAAATTAATCATTATTGGAAAATAGCAGATTACATTGTAAGAACTAAGAAACTTTATTAATAGTATTTATTTAATTGTTTATGTAGGATTATAAAAGCATTTCACTATTACATTAAGGAAAGATGTATAAGGCAATAAATGGTATGATTATAATAAAGTAATGACCACATCAGAAGGAGCTGCCAAGACAATGACAATGTGCAACATTTCCTAAGGTTAGATCTACTGTACATGTACAAATTTGCATATTTTGTGGTTTTGTGATGTACCAAATAAATAATGAAATTGACCAAGGCCAGAGTCCTGTGTAACCAGCCTTTGTGTGGGTATAGACTTTTGGGTAGACACTAGACAGGCTCAAATATCTTCCATGTTTTATGTTGATTTACCCTTGGTTTTATTCTTAACACTATTAAACTTAACATGTACTTC